ACAGATTTGTGGATACGGACCACGCACTCGACCTGAGTTGCTTTTTGCTTCGTCTTCCAGGGCCGCGTAAGGTGCAGACAGACGGTCTGGCGACTGAGTGGCTGGCAGATCCGAATGTTAGAAGAACTTACCACAATCGTCTTTTAGGGTCTTTTCTAAGTGCTCCACCATCAAATGTGAAATCATACTGGGACGACATCGCAACCATTTTGAAAAGTGCTAAAAGTTTTGCCTTTGGCAGGGCACCACCAGGCGCACCAGACCGAACGATGGCACTGATTAAATCTCGGAGAAATATCTCGGCCGGTACCGAACGTAATCTGGCGCAACGAATTATCGCACGCCAAGTGAAAGTGAGCGTGCGAACCGACCGTGGAGTGTGGCGGACACAGAAAGCCAAAGAAATGGAAGAGGCCCAGAAAGCTGATCATGCCGAAGATTATTTCAGTTGATCCGTGCTACCGGTTCTCGGAAACCGCCTGTGGGCGAAACCATCACGGACCAAAAAGTAGTGACCATCTCGAATAAAGATGAACGCCTCGCCAGTGGGCCGAATACTTCGAACAATTGTTGTGGCCGCCAGATGCCACTGATCTCGACCCTCGACGGTGAACGCAGGACACTCTACAGCCTCGGAGGTTTACAACTCCACATGTTCTCTCAAGCAAACTGAGCACCTGATCCGGATGACCTCCTACCCGCATTGTTTAAAGATGGAGTGAAGTCCTCAGTCAGCGGCTGTCCGCTTTGCTTGCCTGTATTTGGAAAAAACAGACTTACCCAGACAACTCTGAAGAGTCGGTGATAGTGCTCATTTTCAAAAAAGGGGCGCAATGAGTGTAGTAACAAACGGGGGGTCAGCTTGACCCCAATTGTAACAAGACTGCTGGAATCACTTGGGCAGTGAAACACTGACTCGAGTGCAGCAAGCGGGATTCCGGCCTGGTAGAGGTTGCGTTGACCAAATCTTCACACTCCGTTAGGTGCTAGAACAACGCCATTTGTATAAGCGATCCCTAATTCTAGTATTCCTGGATTTCCACGGCGCATTCGACTCGGTTGATCGCTCTGTTTTTCTTGACACCCCTGCCCACCAAGAAATGCCCCGGAAATTCTTGAACATGATACATTCTTTGTGTTCTCAGACTTCCGGACGTGAGAGCATACGGAAAGCTCGTCAAAAGCTCTCGCACACAAATCAGTGTCCGTCAGAGGTGCCAACTCTCTCCATTCCTTTTTAATTTCGCGATCGATGTGATAATGAAACGAAGGCTAAACGGTTTTGAAAACCCCGGTGTTCAAACAGCTTCTGGCTAAAACCTTGTCGATCTGGAACATGCAGACGACATCGTCCTGGTGTCTGTTTTTGTATGAACTGACCAAAGTCATCAATTTCTTTTTGTCATGCACTCTGCACACACAAAGTGTGACGCTCGTGGACACGCACTCACTGAACACGCCGCCCACAATCCAGGAAGAGGCACTGGAAGTTGTGGAGCGTTTAAATTATTTTGGAAGTTGTACTAATTCTGACTATAGTATGATAGATGAGGTCAATGCGCGAATCTGCAAAGCCCGTGGCACGACTGGTTGGAGACACTGCAAGATATGACTACTAACCGATGTCAGTGGTGTTCTTGTTGTCAGATTGCCTGAATGAGTGCTTGGAGGAGTAGGCACCTCGGAATGATTGTAGTAAGCTAGCACTAAGACCCAACCCCCTCTACCTTTATTCTTTTCTTCATAAATAAGGCTTACAAATAAATCGTGCTTGTATGGCAGTGAAGCATCAATGTTGAACATTGATGTCAGGCTGTCCATGATAATGATGATGAAGCGACGAAGAACATTTGTCTATACTGGCGTTACTAGTAATGAATACAACATTCATAAGTCGCGTGGGTAGTTCAAGCTACCTCAGGAGTGAGTGTTGTTAACAGTCATGGCTTTTCGTCTCTCAAGAATGCAAAATAAATCGGGCGGTCGCTCCCTTGTTTCTTCAACCAACTTCTCTGCGTTTGTCTAGTACATCTGGGCTCCCTTGATCATGCGTCAAATGACAAAATCTTGTACCATTACAACGTGGACCGACAATATGTACACGAAAATTTCCTATCCATTTTTAGACCAATACACTCATATGCATATTGACTGGGTTTCCATGGGAGACTCTATTGAATATGATTTATGATATTCTTCAACTGAATGTGCTGAACAGAGGCCGTCGCATGTTTCAGCTGGTACGATATTTGAGATATCGTAGTGTATTTCCTACCCAGTATATTCCCACTCAGTTTGTTTACGCGCCTACTACCTGCATCATGCGCCTGGCGTGTAACCTTCAACCACATCAGTTCCAGTTGTAATCACGTTTGGGAGACTATCAAGTAAGGATGGACACCCCTCTTCACATTGCAAAAAATAAATAAACCTGCGACTCGGACCAGCATACACACACACGCACGGGACATGAAGTCAACCAAGCTCCACGAACAACTACGGAACACGAATAGCAACTACACTGCAGAGAAAACAGGTTCGGTCTTCGAACCTTCACTCAGGAACTCTCAACAGCTGCCATCAATGAGTCGCCCCTTACTTATTTCACTATGGCCTAGTAATACTCTTCTCAAGGTGAACCTGACTATTGTAATCATTCCTAAAAAAAGATGCTTTCCTAGTCCTTTCCGCCAGCCGACTATTAAGTTATTTACGTTACAACCAGAGCACTAACGGAGATCAGCGGTTCTTCCTAGGTGTGGGGATATTCGTAACTGAACATCTAGAGTTGACTTTGTATTTATGGGCATTCTCATAGTAAACACTCGTCTGGAGAAGATGGGCAAAAAACACCATTTTGCAGTGAATTTTCTGCACGACGACACTAGGTAGACGGTTACTTTATGAATAACACACCTAACCAAACAACTATTTTACGAATAATTGATGAAATTTGTAACTGAGATGCATTTCCGTGATACTACACCATTTCCCAAACACGAAAGATTTAGTAAGAAATACGTTCCCGTTCTCTGATTGTTCAAGATTAATCAGTGTCTAGACAGACTATGACCGACAATAATCTGCTCATCCTGACAAAAAAACGGAATCTAAAAGATTGCATATAATTCCGGCTTAAAGCCATACAGTACCAAACTCTTGGTTATCACATGAGATAAATGCTTTTAAGAGAAGGCAATATAATACCGTTGTTGTTCCTGCTTGCCTACTATTCATCAGTTGGTGCATGTATTTCCATCACGCGACCCACAGTTTGCACTTGGAAAGCGCTACCGAATGTATATAAACTATCCAGGCAATCATAACACTAGGTGTTGGTGGCGGAAATGTATCCTACACACTCGGTAGGTAGGTTGGGAGGGAGGAAAACGGTGCAGACATAAACGCCTCACATACAAAGTATACTAAGGATGGTACGTGAGTGTGTATGCCTAGGAGACAATGAAACACCTAGATTTCGTTTCCATCGTTGCAAACAATACCATAGAGCATAAATGTGTAGTAGGTTGTGTGTAGGTTGCATTATATAACTGATCAATTTACGCTCAGGTTGCAATTTTAACCGGCTAACTTATAATACTTTGGTGTTTTGGAGGAGTAGAACATACGGAAACGAGTTGAAGAAAAAACATGAGACGTCGGCAATGTGTTGAAATATTGGTAGCTCGGGTGAGTTTATTGGTTGTTGATCTGCTTGCCGAGCGGCGCCAAGCTCGGCGAACAGATCAACAACCACCTGATCAACAACCAATAGCATGAGACGTCGTCCAAAATAGGTCCACAGATAAATTTGCGCCATGCAACAGCACAGTTCTGTACTATAGATTGCGACGTTTCCTTCAGATGCGCCGACATAGGTAATGGAACTGGAAGCCTAGCCAGGGAGCCCACCGGTCCAAGCTTAACACAGAGCTAACACCGGTGTGAAATAATACACGGAGTAGTAACTCGAAGCCTCGTGGTGCTGGTACTCATCATTTCGCAGTGGGAGTGAACTCAATCTGACAGACCAGTCCAGTTATAATAATTCATATGTAAGTCATACATATGTATTCAACTCAACTGAAATTTGAGAAACAGCTTCCAAAATATTCAGATACCACACACATGTGGATACCCTGAGGGATATTGCGACCCGGTTCATCATTTTAGGAAAGCTTAAACAAGAACCAATGGATTCAGTTACGTTATTCGAACTGCCCTAACTGGAGAACCAAAGACCGAAAATGATGTACCGTTGCTCTAGCCTTCAATCCACCATCATTTTAACATCCGCAAAACATAATTCAATTCTCTATATACCACTTTTGCACATCAAACAGTTAAATCTCTCCTACTCATAAAGAAAGTACGGAGTCCCCCCAAATCCTTCCATTAAACCACACAGTTGAGTAATAACAGTCATCCATATTAGGTCTGAAATCTAGGAGCCGTGTACTCGGACAGGTCCGCCTTTATGAAGCAATAATACTGAGAAAAACAGTTTCTCCATCACTTTGGGTGGGTATCTCATTGTTATTTAAATTCTGCTGTGTGAAATATGAAATAAAATCGACTACAGTGACTGTGTTTTGCAGCTACTCAGAGGTGCACTGAGAGTTACGTGCCAATTGGCTAGGAATTGGTGATAACTTGACAGGTCACTAAACTGGATAGACTGTCAAACCATAGGTTGGTATAAAACTAACGATATATGGCACTAGCGCCAAGTCAAACTCGGCATGCAGGGGCATCTCACGAGAAACAGAGGATCAAAGCTCATTCATCCGCCGTCAGAATGGTTCGTCACCAGCACGTATGATCACCAATCACCGAGCGAACATCTCCATGGCATCGACACAGGTAGACAGCCAATCGCATTCAGGATAACAGTTAGGCGCGGTCGGTCACACACCAAAGCTAACATAAAAATTCCGGTAAGCCCATAATCATACCTGAATGAGGACGTATGGCAAACAATAGTAGCAGTACTTGGGCAAGCAGAGTTTCCCAAAATGTGCGAAAACTTTGACACCTCCTACGAATATTCTCATATAAACAGGTGGAATTATTTACACTTGATGTTCAGGTGATTCGAAACAATTAGAGTAGAAATGCAAGTAACGACGCCTCAAATCATTCCATTTCCACCGTTACTTACTGTGGATTCAGAAAAGGCATCGCACTACGAGAACAATGCGCAATATGTGGAAAAGTGAGTTTGAAGATCATCTACTTCACTCATTCATGCTGTCTCCCTATTCCTTGCACTCGACTAAATTTTCATGAATCGTTGAAAAATAGGATACAAAATTGTGCCTCTTTTGTTGCGGACCATTTTATAAATCCTTAGGGAGATAATTTAAGTTAGTTAAACGCTATGCACCTGGCCGTCTCGGACGAGATCGAAGGACAGCTACCATTAGCTCGAAAGTAATCAAAGGCAATACTCCAGTGCGAATCTGCTCATCGCTCTTATTGTTATTATTACTAATACTGTCGTTATTATATCAAAGACAAAAGGCACCGAAGCATGCATGGTATCCACCCACTGTGAAACAACTCCGGAATGATCATACATAGATGAATCTGCAAACAGTAGGGGAAAAACTCCTGCCTACCGAAATGTCCGTTTTAATTTCCAAAGAACAATAGCACAACAAAGTGGAACCGTTAATCGACTCCATAAGCAAGATATCAGTGGACCCTTACTGACCTAATCTGGCTAGGTCGTTATTTTAGGCTAAGGTACATGAACAGTAAGTGACAAGAACATGTCATATTGTCACATAGATCGAAGAAAGTGGAGCCCGAACATTGAATCAGGCAGCGAGCGGAAACGCAGGGTTCATTTTTATTGAAAAAATTCTTTTTAACGCCACAGAATTCGCATTGGTTATAAAATCCCTTCTTTTGCGATTCCCACTTAAGTCCGCCCTGGTAACACAGTAATGATAGTGATAAGAATAGGCACAAGAATACTCTGTGGTGTCCCCGAAAAGAAGAGCTGGTACTATTCAAACATTCATCTTGATCAGAGACAAAACTTTTTTCCCCTACAATGCCGTTGAAGACATCTGAATTTTTGTTAGCTGTGCGTGACGGCTATCGTTAGTCGTTCCCCTGAGGTGAATTACTGCGGCTTCAACAAACGTGAAGCCAAAGTGCATTGATGGCAAACGACGAATTACGAAGTGGAAAAAAAGAAAAGTTCGTTTAATCATAAATAAGAAAAAACTGAATATGGTTCTTACTCAAAAAGCAGCACATTAGAGTACATTTGGTGCCAACATTATCTATCTTTGTGTGTGACCATATTTCGTAAAAACAAAAAAGACAGCAGACACCCTTCACACACATGCAGCATGTGTGCCGTGACGGTCTGTTCAGCTAGTTACGTACCAACTAGAAGTCAACAAATTTTTTACCTTGAATTGTAGGGGGCATTGATTTACATATGGGTACGCAGCTCCAATTACGTACAATTCGTTAGTCAAGCATGATATGAATGATGGAACCCCAAGGACCAAGTCTAGTTGATCAGCCTCTAGAGGAGCTAAACTTCCAGATGTTTTCCGAAGAATTTTCTAGACTCTCAAAAGGAAATAGGCGGTCTATTGGTCGTAGCCTATCCAAAACGTAAAATCGAAGGGGTTATCCCCGCCATGCTTAGTTAGAAGGCAAAGCGCAGTGTACTATAAAGGAAGGGTCAAATTGCCCGACCACCGTCTGTCTAATATGTGTCTACTGTGCACAGGAAAATTTGATGGCCCTAATTTATCTCTACCCTAACCGGAAACTCCTAATATCGACCCTGCAGGCTTTGACAAAATTAGCAAAAAAGACCGGCAAACTTCGGACATTCCACTCCCCAAGAAAAAACGACCGCCCATTCAGAAAACAACAGATACCGTTTGGTACGAAAACTGATCTCTCTTTAACTAAGTTGAAGTACGAAGTCTAATTATTTACGCTTAATCTACTTGACAATTGAGCTTACTGTCCAAAACGTGGTTCAAGAGCCTGCATGTAATGGGTCTGCCCTGAAATGTGGGAAGAACCGTTCGCACAGTAAACTCTGGAAAAGCTTCGATATATTATAGGCTTAGCCGCCCGTTTAGCTCTGATTTAATAATCGTTCAGTTATAATACCCTCTCGGTGCCTAGCTCCCATGTCACCAGAAGGAAGCACGAGGGCTGGGATACTGCCAGGTTGCCCAAACCTAGATAGGGGGAGTAGAGTGGCAAAGGTCACATTCGAACCACGGACATTTCGGTCAGAAAATTCGCGCTCTAATTGCTTGAGCCATCCCTCCCTTTTCAGTCCTTTGGGACTGATAGTGAAGCTGACTGGCTAGGGTCCTTAGACGATCCCGTTTGAGAATATTCTGTCCCTCACCCGTAACATCAAAGTCGTTTAGCTCGGCAAAAAAGGTCCCATGGAACTGCTTAACTACTTCAAAGACGTTAAAGACGGAAATGTAATGGTTACAGTATCGTCGAAAAATCACGCGATTGTATGGTTTTGAGAGTGTACCTTCATGAACTTGTGTAGGCATCATGTAAAATGATACCCACTATAGCATAAATGACAGCCTCATAATAGAGGATCGGACAATTATTCCCTAAGGATAAGAGAAAAGATTCCGAACCCGCTCACACGTCACCCGCACCCTCGCAAGTAGTGGGGTTAATGATAGAAGTGTCTAATGAATGAAGAGAAAGGGACCGGCTGAAAAAAGAAATATGGCAGTACTGTTGTAATACGCACTTCAAACGCAACTATGGTTGGTAATAATGATGTTGATAATAAAACCGACCAGTTTAATAATTACATTAGGATAACATTCTAACGGTTCGCGTTACTTCACGGTTAGTTGGTGACCTAAACTCGACGGTAAACCCTCGATCTTTACTTCGGTCATTTCTGACGATCGTACTGTGTCTTTACAACTCCAAGCTATGAACGCAATACTAATTGCAAATCAGAGTTATTCAACTGCACTGATAAAAGCCTCGGCTCAGAATACTCTTCAGACTTCGGGAAACATCTATCGCGGATCAATTCTCAAAAGAATAGAAGTGGATTATGTTTCAAAGAATGTATTAAAATTGAAAGTAGGACAATTAAAAGGATGAAACCTCCTTAAGGCACGCACGTAGTAGAGCGAAGTCACGTACAAAGTACCAGGGGGGGAACTAACATGCTACAAAAGACGAAAGGCGAAGCAATGCGACAGGGTTCATTGCTTTTCTGAGAATTTCGCTGTTTTTGTCATCGATTTAAATTTCGACAACGGGGATGTTTTTGTTGCTGTTGTTGTTGTTGTTGCACTTGAGAGACTAAACATTTCCGTATAATGAGTTTTACATTTGAACACAAGCTCATCATGCGTGCTCAACAGTTGAACACCGCCTGAATGGATAACAGACTAGAAACGGTGAGCACGAGAAACTCTATCGAATTTAGTGAAAATAGTTTCAGTGACAAGAAACGACCAGATTCTGTAGATGTGCACAGGAACTACAGTAGGATAATTGGCTACAAGGTCGGATATATTATTCCGCATTTATTGTACGACCTCTCTGTGGTTGATAAATTGTACCCTCCCTCGTGTTACTTGTCTAACATCACCTATCGTCTACGAGACAAAGCAAACTATTGCCTGCTCAAGGCCAAATATGAAGCTATAAACTCTTCTGTGAACGTCATCCTCAGATTTCCGTTAGGAAACCTAAACAATATTGTTCGAAAAAATTTTGTCTAGACAGGTGGATGGAAACTGGTCGTAAAAAAATTTCACTTCCGGTCATCAGAAAAGTAATGAAAAATCCACACCTAAGGACATATCAAGAATCCGTTCAGCTGTGACACCCTAGCGGGACCAGGTGGAAGGTAGACAGTACCAAGGTCTTAGGTATCCGTACAATGCTGAAGAATTGCTAAGATGTTACGCGTAGACACAAACCGTAAATCTCCTAGCCAGGAACACGTGCCCCAGTAACCACACCAACCCGGGATGAAGAAACCAAAATGTTGAGTTGTAGCGATTACCTTCTGATGATGGCACCTAACAGATCTTCGTCAGAAATGCAACAGTTCCGGGTGTTTCTACGACCGATTGGTAATCAATCTCAAAAGCTTGAATTAGCGAACTCAGTCATAGTTGGCTACGCACAGGTTTCCTGCTCTCTGGCTCACGCATCATGTGATCTGAACAAGCAGCTACAGGGTGATCCACGCTTAGATCTTCTGTTCGGTTGCGTGCCTACTGGCAAACACGCACCTGATTTTTCGCACTTTGATATCCGTTCGGCCCGTAGCAGCAACACAACGGCGGTTAGCATTCGGGCACGCCAAAGTCTGATCAAAATCACGGTTCTTTCGGGAAGTGGATCACACCCAAGAACGTGGGGGCATGCCAATTTTGGAGAAAAAAAACGATGGGCAGATAAATGATAGGTGAATAAACGGAAAATGATCTGTGACGGATTTTTCGACTATTCTACAATTTTATCACTTTGGTCAACACATCAGGAGGAACTGTTGCGAAAGTTTGTGCTTTCGTTACTCTTATCAGACTGTATGTCGATTGCGCCACACATGAATAGCTCAATCGAGGAAACGGTCAGTAGTTTATGACAGGGTGCGTTTGTAACGTAACGTCGAGGAAGATGCAGCTCCTTGATTGTCACTGTTCCACTGAGTACCGGTGAACACAGTAGAACATCTCAAAAGGAACATCAACTCGAGAAAAAACTAAAATGTTCCGAGATGCGAGGCCTCTCTACCCCAGACGTTTTGTGGAATAAGTCTGTACACCGAATGATAACCAATGTATCCATCCTTAGGTGGTCTGACATGACAAAACCTAAAGACAAAAAATATAATTTGTTTTTTTTTTTTTACAAACGGAAATTCTTTTGAGACTGCAACCGCCGATATCCACGCCAGTTTATTTTTCCATTACTCATTTTTATACACCAACCTGGAAGCAGATATCGGAGGCAACGTACGAGTGGTTACCGCACACCACTTAACACGAATTGACTGTTGTCGGATGCGTTTAGCCCTGAAAAATCAATCCACTACGCGGTTCATTTGCTTTGTAGTATCCGGTTTTTCACAACCACTGTGAAAATATCGCGAAAACACTTGACTGCTTTCGGGTAGTCAAATTTCCTGACAAGTTTGATCGCAAGGGACTAGTAGAC